CGTACCGTGGGGGTCAAGAGACATGCCGTGGGGTCAAGAGACATGCTGTGGGGTCAAGAGACATGCCGTGGGGTCAAGAGGCATGCCGTGGGGGTCAAGAGACATGCCGTGGGGTCAAGAGACATGCCGTGGGGTCAAGAGACATGCTGTGGGGTCAAGAGACATGCCGTGGGGTCAAGAGACACGCCGTGGGGTCAAGAGACATGCTGTGGGGTCAAGAGACAAGCCGTGGGGTCAAGAGACATGCTGTGGGGTCAAGAGACATGCCGTGGGGTCGGACACAACACAGGCGCCACCAGCCCACATCTGTCCACTTAACTTGGCCCAAATTCGTCCGTGATTTTTAATTTGTCTTTCACACTTGTTCCGATAATTTGATTGAATTTCCCGCCAATTTGTCGAGGAGCCATCTGTTGTTTGTTGTTGCCTGAGGGGGGGGGGGAGGGGAGGGGGGGCTGGAGGGGAGGGGCGGGGGGGGATATGGAGAGGAGATACCAAAGGAGTAATGGGGGGTGGAGGACAGGTAGGGGATGAGGAGATGGTGTTTGGAGGTGGCATGGAGAGAGGGGGTGGGGGTGGAGGAGATGGGAAAGAGAGAGAAAGAGAGGATCGGGAGGTGATGGGACTTGGAAGGGTGTGGGGGAGGGGAAGGGAGGGTAAGAGGAAGGGGGAAGAGGTCCTAGAGTCATGGCATAAAGTGACGTGGTGTCTGACACTACACCTGTCCTCTGAACAGTTAACCGGATTACACACAAAGCCTGTCTCCTGAAGAACTCATTAACCGGATAAATTTAGTAGTATATACAAAGTAAATCAACACAGGGAGTGAATCCACTCCTTTGGTCTCCCCTTTGGGCAGGAGACCAAAGGGGTCACTGCTGGTACCTGCTACCCAGCACCCACCAGTGGCTCGAGAAACTCAGAAATACCTGTACACCAGTAGATTGACAGTTGAGAGGCGGGACCCAAGAACCGAAGCTCAACCCCCAGCAAACACAACTAGCTGAGTACATCTTGATGAGCACACTCACACACCCGTGGCCAGAAGAGTGAAAAGAAAGAGGAGACATTACAGATAGACTTAGAGGACGACTGATTGTTGGAAAGACCGGGTACAAGAGCTGAAGCTCGACTCTGCAGGGTGACCCTGGTGAGGACACACATAGGCGCCCCTCCACCTGCTCTCAGCTAACATTAGCACATGCAAAAAAGACTCGGTGAAAGTCTTGGTGCGTCTAGACGGACTTGATGCGTCTAGACGGACTTGATGCGTCTAGACGGACTTGATGCGTCCAGACGGACTTGATGCGTCCAGACGGACTTGATGCGTCCAGACGGACTTGATGCGTCCAGACGGACTTGATGCGTCTTTGACGGATTGACGAATTAAGGAATCAATTGACATTTAAGGAGGCAGTTCATCTCTACTAGCGTCTACTACAGACAAACACTAACAATCCTCTGTAGTATATTATAGTCACCCACTACAATCGTCTGCCATATGCTACAATCACCCTGAACCACAATGGGGGAGTATGGGGGTTATAGGAGGCTGGTTGCTGAGGGGAGGGGGGGGTGGGGCTGGTGGGTGAGGGAGGGACAGCACGTAATCCTGGACACGTAATCCTGTGGTCCGGGGTTCGATTCCCGGCGAGAAACAAAATGGGCAGAGTTTCTTTCAACCTGATGGCCCCCCCTCTGTTACCTAGCAGTAAATAGGTACCTGGGAGTTAGACAGCTGCTACGGGCTGCTTCCTGGGTGTGTGTGTGGGTATGGGGAAAAAAATAGTGACAGTTGAGAGGCGGGCCGAAAGAGCAGAGCTCAACCCCCGCAAGCTCCACTAGGTGAATACAATCGGAAATTACAAACGCTACAATCCCCCCCGCCCCCCCCTCACCCTTCCCCGGCCCCCCCTCACTCCTCCCCGGCCCCCCCTCGCTCCCCCCTCGCCCGGGGGTTCAATCTTTGAGCCGCTCTGTTCTCATCAAAATTCAATCAAATTTTATTGCATCATTTTCAGGCGCAAGCTTCGCCCTAATTATGTTACTTTTACAATAAATGAAGGTTGTTCAGGAGGAGGAGGAGGAGGAGGAGGGAGGAGGAGGAGGAGGAGGAGGAGGAGGAGGAAGGGAAAGAAGAGCAAGGAAGAGAAGTGACTGACAAGCATCAAGACGTCACCAGAAATCTGAAGACTCGTAAGAGATTACCATATTGGTTTAACTCATCCACTCAATCATCCATTCACTCACTTATCCATCGGCTTATCCACCCATCCATCAACTCTGTGCCCCGTGGAACGTGCCCGGTGGAGAGGGGAGAGGGGGGAGGGGGGAAGAGAAGGGAAGAGAAGCTCAACATATATTTTCTTCCATTGCTTTAAACTTCTTGATGACTCGGCCTCTCACGTGCCGGCTAATTATAGAGGCGATGGGCGGCTCTGTTATAGTCGCTCCTGCTCTACACGCCTCACCACCTGCTCTCCTGGGGTATTATTAGCCAGGGAGGGGGGGGGGGAGGGCAGAGAGTGAGAGTGACAGATACAAGGAGAGAGAGAGAGAGAGGGAGAGAGGGAGAGAGAGAGAAAGGACGGTTGTGGAGGGTTGATCAAAAGAGTATGGTTGATAGAGGAAAGATGGAGGGGGGGGGGGTTTAGGGGGGGGGGGAGAAGGGGACAAATGCTTCACAAATTACAAACTACAATGCCTCTATAACTACAATATGCAACGCTAAAATATCCTGCCAAATAATGTCTCAACGTGATTCAACTCTAGCGTGTTAGGTAACATGGGAAGGGGAATTTCCTCACCACCAAAGTCACTCTGAACTGCGTGTTAAGAAACTAGAGAACTGGAGTCTACAGTGGTGACAAATCGGTACGGTGGACAAAATCTGGGTTGAGCAATATAAGGATCAATTGAGGAATAAATCTGGGATGTGCAACAGACAACCTCTCACCAGACGAGTGCAGGATGTACAGTAAACTACCGCTCACAGGATGAGCTTGGAATGCATACATACATACAGAGAAGTTGTTGGTCTAATATAGATGCGGCGAAGGGAGTGAGATATGAGATCAGACGGGCCGTCCGCCTCGCTGACACTATGTGTGTGTGTGTGTGTGTGTGTGTGTGTGTGTGTGTGTGTGTGTGTGTGTGTGTGTGTGTGTGTGTGTGTGTGTGTGTGTGTGTGTGTGTTTGGTAGCTAAGCTAAGCTTGCTCACCTGTCTCAGCAAGCTGAGCAAGCTCTGTCATCTCTCCTAGCATCCCCCCTACCCCTTCCTCATCATCCTGCCCCCCCCACCACACTCACCCCCTTCTACACACTCCTCCCTCACCACTCTTTTCTCTGCCTGACCCCCCTCTGCCCCCCTACTCCCCCCCCTCACCCACCACAGGCTGCCAACTTCGCCAGTCATGAGACTTCCATTTTTTCTCCTTCCTGCTGTCCTTTATCAAACCATATACTGCACCTGTGCTCCTCTATATCTCTCTCTTATACTGCACCTGTGCTCCTCTATATCTCTCTCTCTTATACTGCACCTGTGCTCCTCTATATCTCTCTCTCTTATACTGCACCTGTGCTCCTCTATATCTCTCTCTTATACTGCACCTGTGCTCCTCTATATCTCTCTCTCTTATACTGCACCTGTGCTCCTCTATATCTCTCTCTCTTATACTGCACCTGTGCTCCTCTATATCTCTCTCTTATACTGCACCTGTGCTCCTCTATATCTTCTCTATACCTCTCTCTTATACTGCACCTGTGCTCTTGACGACCAAATCAAGTGTAGGGGTGACCCACGCTACAAGAGTGTAAGGGTGACCCACGCAACAAGAGTGTGAGGGTGACCCACGCTACAAGAGTGTGAGGGTGACCCACGCTACAAGAGTGTGAGGGTGACCCACGCTACAAGAGTGTAAGGGTGACCCACGCTACAAGAGTGTGAGGGTGACCCACGCTACAAGAGTGTAAGGGTGACCCACGCTACAAGAGTGTGAGGGAGACCCACGCTACAAGAGTGAAGGGGTGACCAACGCTACAAGAGTGTGAGGGTGACCCACGCTACAAGAGTGTAAGGGTGACCCACGCTACAAGAGTGTGAGGGTGACCCACGCTACAAGAGTGTAAGGGTGACCCACGCTACAAGAGTGTAAGGGTGACCCACGCTACAAGAGTGTGAGGGTGACCCACGCTACAAGAGTGTAAGGGTGACCCACGCTACAAGAGTGTAAGGGTGACCCACGCTACAAGAGTGTAAGGGTGACCCACGCTACAAGAGTGTAGGGGTGACCCACGCTACAAGAGTGTAAGGGTGACCCACGCTACAAGAGTGTAAGGGTGACCCACGCTACAAGAGTGTAGGGTGACCCACGCTACAAGAGTGTAAGGGTGACCCACGCTACAAGAGTGTAAGGGTGACCCACGCTACAAGAGTGTGAGGGTGACCCACGCTACAAGAGTGTGAGGGTGACCCACGCTACAAGAGTGTGAGGGTGACCCACGCTACAAGAGTGTGAGGGTGACCCACGCTACAAGAGTGTAAGGGTGACCCACGCTACAAGAGTGTAAGAGTGACCTACGCTACAAGAGTGTAAGGGTGACCCACGCTACAAGAGTGTAAGGGTGACCCACGCTACAAGAGTGTAAGGGTGACCTACGCTACAAGAGTGTAAGAGTGACCTACGCTACAAGAGTGTAAGGGTGACCTACGCTACAAGAGTGTGAGGGTGACCCACACTACAAGCGTTTAGGGGTGACCCATGTGTTTTCAATTCGGAAGAAATTGGCTAAATATAGCCTTAGGGATGATGTGAATATGTTGTTCTTGGCGTACGCTTGGACGAAGCTGCGGACCTGCACGCACGCACGCACACACACACACACACACACACACACGCACACGCACACACACACACACCCACACCCACACGAAAAGGCGTGTGCCCGAGCGAGCGAGCAAGTGTGCAGGCGAGGGCCTGGGCAGTGCCCCGTGGCAGGCAGTGTGAGTCGGGTGTGTGTGAGGCAGCATGAGGGACATAGTGAGTGTGAGGGCCCAGGGGCTGCGGGCCAGGAAGCCCGTGAGGAGGGGGGACGTCATCCTCACCTCTCGACCCTTCTGCACCCTGCTAGACTCCTCCCTCGCCGGCTCCTACTGCGAGTACTGCTTTGGCTCTTCCAGGTGAGTGGTGTTGGAGCCCCGTGTGGGTCTCGTGCCCCGTGTGGGTCTTGTGCCCCGTGTGGGGCATGAGTACTGGGTGAAGAGACAGTGTGGTGGGTCTAGAGGCAGTGTGGTAGGTCTAGAGGCAAAGTACTGGGTGTAGAGGGAGTGTGGTGGGTGTAGAGGCAGTGTGGTGGGTGTAGAAGCAGTGTGGTGGGTCTAGAGGCAGTGTGGTGGGTCTAGAGGCAGTGTGGTGGGGCTAGAGACAGTGTGGTGGGTGTAGAGACAGTGTGGTGGGTGTAGAGACAGTGTGGTGGGTGTAGATGCAGTGTGGTGAGTGTAGAGGCAGTGTGGTGGGTGTAGAGGCAGTGTGGTGGGTGTAGAGGCAGTGTGGTGGGTGTAGAGGCAGTGTGGTGGGGCTAGAGACAGTGTGGTGGGTGTAGAGACAGTGTGGTGGGTGTAGAGACAGTGTGGTGGGTGTAGAGGCAGTGTGGTGGGTGTAGAGGCAGTGTGGTGGGTGTAGAGACAGTGTGGTGGGTGTAGAGCAGTGTGGTGGGTGTAGAGGCAGTGTGGTGGGTGTAGAGGCAGTGTGGTGGGTGTAGAGACAGTGTGGTGGGTGTAGAGGCAGTGTGGTGGGGCTAGAGGAAGCAGGGCATGCATACAGTACTAGCCATGTGCTCCATCTGGCTTGTGTTTACCTAGTCGCTCGCTGTTTACCTCAGAGCTGCTCACCCCCGTACCTGAGGCGCCCTGACACACCTGCGGCCTTGTCACGACACATGTGGCCTTGCCAACACACCTGTCGGGTCAAAACAGTTGAAAGTCACTGCTGGTGATATTTTCACGGTAGCAAACGAGGACGTCTACTGCCGTGAAAATAACACCAGCAGGGAGTTTCAACTGTTTTGACCCGACAGGTGTCTTGGCAAGACCACATGTGTCGTGACTAGGCCGCAGGTGTGTCACGACACACCTGTGTTCCCCTCTGAGGGACCATTCCGATTTGTGACCCCTCAGAGGGGCAAGGTTTGGTTCGCGGGTGAAGCTGTGCATTCACATCCACTCCGCTTCTTCTCCTACAGGAAGGACAGGACGTTGAGGCGCTGTAAGACGTGTGGACGGTCGTGGTTCTGTAGTGAACTGTGTCGGGAGCTCGCCCAGCCCTTACACCAGAGGGAGTGTGGGGTCTTCTCCCGCAGGCCGGACTTCCACCCGAAGAACATGTCTAGGTTCCTCGCAAGGCTCATCTGGAAGCTTAAGGTCAGGAGTCAAATGCTTGCTGGGACCTTGCACTACCTTTCTCCTAATCCTTCAACTCCCTTCCCCTACTCCACCTTCCCTCCTCCGTGTGGCACTGAACGGCACTAACAACTGTCTCTTGTGATCGGGGGTTCGAGGCCCCCCTCTGTGGGCCAGGGAGGGTTAATATAACATTACGTTCTTCTCTTATCTCTCGAAGCTGCGGAAGTATTAGCCTTTTGCACCCATGAAGACTGTCGTAAATCGTAGTGACCCTGTTTGTCATGTGGCATGTGTTAGAGAGGGCGTGTCAAGAGGAGTCTATAGGAGCTAGATATAGGTGTAAACAGGCTGGTCTTCTCTATTTTAACTACTCTCAATACTAGTTAGCCAGAAAACGTTAATCATTCCTTCAATAGTTCTATAAAACGTTCACTAGAACAAGCATTTAGATTATTTTCTTTATCAAACACTTAACAGGATGGAGGGGAGGAAATTGCAGAGAAAATTGATGAGAAAAGGAGTCGCCGGTTTAAGGATCTTGAGAGCCGTGAGTATCCAGGTGACGCTGAAGCTTTAATAACGCCCCCCCCCCTTCTCTCTCACATCTCTCTATACATCATACACCCCATGCATACACCTGCAGGTAGGTATACATCCACCTGAAGCAAAACACTGAGGTATATCCTAGCTTCTATTGCTTTCAAACACAAACACACTATTCTTCACGACACTATACCACACTACTCTCACACACACCACTGAACCTCTCTGCCTTAGTCAACACTACTCTCAAACACTATTTCCTAAGTCTAATGACCAGAGCTAGTCCCAAAATGGCTAGTTTAGTCATCACAAACATTCAACAAGCTGTCAAGTTGAAACACGAAGTCCACTATAAGTCACCATCTCCACCATCAGCGATCCAACTTGCATCAAATAGCTCAAATAAATGAGCCAAGACATTTGCATCACTCAAAAACAAAACAGAATATATATATATATATATATATATATATATATATATATATATATATATATATATATATATATATATATATATATATATATATATTGTACTAGTGCAAGCCTTATGAAAAACGTTTGGATTCATATTGCTCTCTTGGACGCCTGAGCCACATACACACTGGGCCACATACACACTGGGGCCACATACACACTGGGCCACATACACACCAGGGCCACATACACACTGGGGCCACATACACACCAGGGCCACATACACACTGGGGCCACATACACACCAGGGCCACATACACACCAGGGCCACATACACACCAGGGCCACATACACACCAGGGCCACATACACACCAGGGCCACATACACACCAGGGCCACATACACACCAGGGCCACATACACACTGGGCCACATACACACCAGGGCCACATACACACTGGGACCACATACACACTGGGCCACATACACACCAGGGCCACATACACACCAGGGCCACATACACACCAGGGCCACATACACACCAGGGCCACATACACACCAGGGCCACATACACACTGGGCCACATACACACCAGGGCCACATACACACCAGGGCCACATACACACCAGGGCCACATACACACCAGGGCCACATACACACCAGGGCCACATACACACTGGGCCACATACACACCAGGGCCACATACACACTGGGGCCACATACACACTGGGCCACATACACACCAGGGCCACATACACACCAGGGCCACATACACACCAGGGCCACATACACACTGGGGCCACATACACACCAGGGCCACATACACACCAGGGCCACATACACACTGGGGCCACATACACACCAGGGCCACATACACACTGGGGCCACATACACACCAGGGCCACATACACACCAGGGCCACATACACACCAGGGCCACATACACACTGGGCCACATACACACCAGGGCCACATACACACTGGGCCACATACACACTGGGCCACATACACACCAGGGCCACATACACACTGGGGCCACATACACACTGGGCCACATACACACCAGGGCCACATACACACCAGGGCCACATACACACTGGGCCACATACACACCAGGGCCACATACACACCAGGGCCACATACACACTGGGCCACATACACACCAGGGCCACATACACACCAGGGCCACATACACACCAGGGCCACATACACACCAGGGCCACATACACACCAGGGCCACATACACACTGGGCCACATACACACCAGGGCCACATACACACCAGGGCCACATACACACTGGGGCCACATACACACTGGGCCACATACACACCAGGGCCACATACACACTGGGCCACATACACACTGGGGCCACATACACACCAGGGCCACATACACACCAGGGCCACATACACACTGGGCCACATACACACCAGGGCCACATACACACTGGGCCACATACACACTGGGCCACATACACACCAGGGCCACATACACACTGGGGCCACATACACACTGGGCCACATACACACTGGGGCCACATACACACCAGGGCCACATACACACTGGGCCACATACACACTGGGCCACATACACACCAGAGCCACATACACACTGGGCCACATACACACCAGGGCCACATACACACTGGGCCACATACACACTGGGGCCAGCATGTTCTGTATATCACTATGGCAAGACATCCCCATTAGACAATTATTAGAATAGTCCTATTTAGCAATTGGCAGATGATTTGTCAATAAAATTTCGACGCCTATTTTCCGGGACAAAATTGGTATAGATATATTAGAGAATTTAATTAGAGGCATAGTCAGTCTTTCTTTTAATAATATTTTTTTTTTTTGCCTATAAAACATTTATTACTTTCCTGAAAAATAATATTTAATTTTATTTGTGATTCTCATTAACAACTGTATTTGTTAAATTGTAATTAACATGTATCTAAATTTTTTTTATCGATGATAAAAAAAAAAAGAGACTGGAATGTAATTAGGCTTCAGATGTTCCATTCCTGTGCCAGCATACAAGCCACAACAGTTACCTATCTCCACGATACCTGTTTTTTATTATGTTAGGTAAACAGAGAGAGAGAGAGAGTTGGTGTCATGAAGTATTTCCTTAACGTCTCGACCTGTTCGAGAATGGAACTCGGGACCATATAGTTATGAGGCGACTGCGTAGCCCACTAAGCTTGTATTGTATAGTAAGTAATATTATGGTATTTGTATATGTACTATATGCACTATATACATATAGTACTTGTAAATATAGTATGTGAGTACATAGTATATACAAGTTGTATATAGTATCTCATACAGGTTACTTATAACGAGGCTGGGAGAGACGACCCAGGGCAGTAACGACCCAGTTAGTGACGACCCAGGGTACTAACGACCCAGTTAGTGACGACCCAGGGCAGTAACGACCCAGTTAGTGACGACCCAGGGTACTAACGACCCAGTTAGTGACGACCCAGGGCAGTAACGACCCAGTTAGTGACGACCCAGGGTACTAACGACCCAGTTAGTGACGACCCAGGGTACTAACGACCCAGTTAGTGACGACCCAGGGTACTAACGACCCAGTTAGTGACGACCAGGGCAGTAACGACCCAGTTAGTGACGACCCAGGGTACTAACGACCCAGTTAGTGACGACCCAGGGTACTAACGACCCAGTTAGTGACGACCCAGGGTACTAACGACCCAGTTAGTGACGACCCAGGGTACTAACGACCCATGACAATAACGACCCATGACAATAACGACCCAGTTAGTAACGACCCAGTTAGTAACGACCCAGTTAGTAACGACCCAGTTAGTGACGACCCAGTTAGTAACGACCCAGTTAGTGACGACCCATGGTACTAACGACCCAGTTAGTAACGACCCAGTTAGTAACGACCCAGGGTACTAACGACCCAGGGTACTAACGACCCAGTTACTAACGACCCAGTTAGTAACGACCCAGTTAGTAACGACCCAGTTAGTAACGACCCAGGGTACTAACGACCCAGTTAGTAACGACCCAGGGTACTAACGACCCAGGGTACTAACGACCCAGTTACTAACGACCCAGTTAGTAACGACCCAGTTAGTAACGACCCAGGGTACTAACGACCCAGGGTACTAACGACCCATGACAATAACGACCCAGGGTACTAACGACCCATGACAATAACGACCCATGGTCTCCTGTGATACACATGTATGACAAAAAAATGTTGATAATCTTTCCTATTTTCCCTTCTGGCCCAGTATTAATATTTTCTTCCCAGGGGAAGAAAATAAGTCATTTTACCTTAAACGGAAGAAATTTAGGTCTTCCGGTAGGACGAATATGTTGTGCAACACGTATATAGTAGAGCAACACAGTTACAGCCCCGCTCCTGTGCCAGGTAAATCCATTAGGGGATCACCATAGCCCGTGCTACTTGGAATTTTTTGTTCCGAGTAGCTGAATCTAAAACAACAACAACATATGATAGAAACGATATATTGGTGTCCAATCACCTGGACAGTCTGGGATCGAACCCCGACCTGCGAAAAGCAAGTCTACTGCTGTACTCTGTGTACAACAGGGTTTTTTTCCCAGGTGAAACAGATGTCCATCATACTATATGAAGTAAAATATTTTTTTTCCCAGGCGAAGCAGATGTCCATTAATGTATTAAAATATATTTTTTTCCCCAGGTGAAGCAGACGTCTTTCTTCTGTATGAAGTAAAATATTTTTTTCCCCAGGTGAAGCAAATACCACGAAGCTGGATGAAAATAGGTAAAAAGATTTTTTCTTAGTACGAGCTACGACATGTTGGCGAAAATTTGTACGAGAAAATTGGTTAAAAATTATACCAATAAAGCTTTATAATAACATGATGTCATCCGTGGAACCCGTTCTAAAAATTCTTTAGCACAAACACTATTTTCTTATATATATTAATTTTTGACACTCAAATTGTACTCGAAAATTGAGGGTAAAATTTTATTGAGCTTTGAAAACCTACACGTTGTGTGTGTGTGTGTGTGTGTGTGTGTGTGTGTGTGTGTGTGTGTGTGTGTGTGTGTGTGTGTGTGTGTGTGTGTGTGTGTGTACTCACCTAATTGTACTCACCTAATTGTGCTTGCGGGGGCTTGCTTGTGTGTGTGTGTGTGTGTGTGTGTGTGTGTGTGTGTGTGTGTGTGTGTATGTGTGTGTGTGTGTGTGTATGTATGTGTGTGTGTGTGTGTGTGTGTGTGTGTGTGTGTGTGTGTGTGTGTGTGTGTGTGTGTGTGTGTGTGTGTGTGTGTGTGTGTGTGTGTGGATTACACTAGCTACAGGTGATGCTGGACCTCCATTACAGACAAGAAAGAGTTAATGACGAGCAAGGAACATCTCACCAGCCTGGAGGACCTCCTTCCGGACCTCCGCGCCCTCTTGGAAGGAGCTCCCCTTCCCTCTCGCCAACACCTCCTCACCATCTACGGCAAGGTCAGTGTACCTCCCTTCAAGTCTTGCCCAAGACACTACCCACTTACATCAAGGTCACTCCCTCTCACTCAATGGTGATAACAGACTCTTCAATCACCTATCACATGCTCTGGAGCGCTTGTTAGCCACGCTGATTCATTTCCTGGTGTTTGAGATGGCTAATTACTCCTGCAACGTGACTCAGGATGAACTCAACACTAGTGAGTCAACTGGGACTAATAGACCCATCGACTTGCAAAAACAAGTCGTTAAGGACAACCGAGCAAGGACACACAAATACACCATGTGTGAGGTGCCTGTGTTTTTGTCACTATCAGACAACACTCTAATAGCTTCACGACATTTTAGCCAGCGTCCATTAACTGCTGGAGCTCCCCGCCTGCCGTCCAAGTCCATCAGCGTCCACCAAACGCTGTTTAACTCATTCGTAGACGCTCATTACGACTCTATAATTGCATTCTCGGCCACCTGGCCGTAGCAACCAGACATACCTGTATACAGTGAGGGGATTATACGCACCTGGGAGCCGCTGGCTGAGCGGACTGAACACTGGACGCGTGATCCTGTGGTCCCGGGGTTCGATCCCGGGCGCCGGAGAGAAACGATGGGCAGAGTTTCTTTTAACTTGATGCCCCTGTTACCTAGCAGTAAATAGGTACCTGGGAGTTAGTCAGCTGTCACGGGCTGCTTCCACAAGGGCCGTGACGAGGATTCGAACCTACGTCCGAGAGCATCCCAGACGCTGCCGTAATCGACTGAGCTACGACATGGCCAAAAGAATCCTCGTCACGGCCCTTGTGAATCTGTTCACCCTCAACTGTTGTTACCCAGCCCTCTAGTTCCTTCCTCTTGCTTGCTGCTCTTACAATGTGATACCTTTTGTTTCTATTCCAGGGGGAAGGGGGGAGGGGGGTGATGCAAGAGATATTGATGCAAGATATATTGATGCAAGAGATATTGATGCAATTGATGTGTCTGTAAAAGTCAACTCCATTAGTGTTACATCTTGTCTCTCGATCCCCCATTGCTCTGTCTCTACCCGTCACTCTGCTTCTCTCTCTCTCCTCCCTTCCCTCTCACCCCTTCCCTCTCCTCCCTTCCCTCTCCTCCCTTCCCTCACTTTATATTCCCCCTTTCCCTCACCTTCCCCGTGCTAGAGGTCCTAAATAGTCAGGAGTCACAGAAAATTTACACTCACGATACTCGAATTCTGCCAAGGCCCCCCCGCCCATAATACACCGCCCCCCGCCCATAATACACCGCCCCCCGCCCATAATACACCGCCCACTCGCACATAATACATCACCCACTCGCACATAATACACCGCCCACTCGCCCATAATACACCGCCCACCCGAGACTTAATAGTCTCATGTATCACTGCTGTAAGGGCCTGTTTAACCCATGACTTGATTCAAACGTGCTTCAAGCAGGTGTTGACCAACACGTGCCTCCCGCAGGTGTTGGTGAACAGCTTCTGCCTGCTGGACGACCGGCTGACGCCCATAGGGACGAGCCTGTACCTGGCAGCCTCCATCTTCGACCACTCCTGCAGCGCCACCGCCTTCGTGTCCTTCCTCGGGAACAAACTGGTCGTCCGCTCACTCGTCGACTGGCCTGACCTCGACTGGACCCGGGTAACTACCCTTCAACGACCTCGTATAGACGTTCTTAACTACTATGGCCGAGCTCTTTTACCACTGTTTGCTCCTCAAATTGGTATGAATTGTTTGTTCACCTCCCCCATTTTTCTCCTTCCCTTCCTCCTCCCCCATTATCACCCCTCTGCATCATCCCCATCAACACTAACCAAGTCTGAAGTTGCACCTGTTGCAGCATGCCACATATAATGTAACTTTTGGAAGGCATCCTGGTGGTGGTGGGAGGGAACTGGTGGGGGGAGTTCCCTGCAACCCCCGGTTGCAGGGAAATTTAGATAGAGGGAACAGGGGGGTAGTTATGAGGAAGGAGCGCTGAGGTAGTTATAAGGAGGGAATGCTGAGGTAGTTATTAGAAATAAGCGCCAAGCCATGGCGGCCTGTCCCTTTTGATGGGTGTAAAGGTAAGTGAGAAGCAAGGGAGAGGGAGATGTAGAGAGGGAGAGTAAGGGAGAAGAGAGGAGAAAGAAGTGAGGAGAAAGGAGAGGAAGGGGAGGAGAGGGAGAGAGAGAGCAGAGGGGGTGAGATGTAAGGGAAGAGAACGATAAGGTGGACTATTCCTGTCTGGCTCACTCATCACTCTATGGCACTCGTGGTGCCAGTGCCAACTGTCACCTGACGTCAGCAGGTGTTGCCTGGTGTTACTGACTGTCACCTGACGTCAGCAGGTGTTGCCTGGTGTTACTGACTGGCACCAGGCGTCAGCAGGTGTTGCCTGGTGTTACTGACTGGCACCAGGCGTCAGCAGGTGTTGCCTGGTGTTACTGACTGTCACCTGACGTCAGCAGGTGTTGCCTGGTGTTACTGACTGTCACCTGACGTCAGCAGGTGTTGCCTGGTGTTACTGGCTGGCACCTGACGTCAGCAGGTGTTGCCTGGTGTTACTGACTGGCACCAGGCGTCAGCAGGTGTTGCCTGGTGTTACTGGCTGGCACCTGACGTCAGCAGGTGTTGCCTGGTGTTACTGGCTGGCACCTGACGTCAGCAGGTGTTGCCTGGTGTTACTGACTGTCACCAGGCGTCAGCAGGTGTTGCCTGGTGTTACTGACTGTCACCAGGCGTCAGCAGGTGTTGCCTGGTGTTACTGACTGTCACCTGACGTCAGCAGGTGTTGCCTGGTGTTACTGACTGTCACCAGGCGTCAGCAGGTGTTGCCTGGTGTTACTGACTGTCACCAGGCGTCAGCAGGTGTTGCCTGGTGTTACTGACTGTCACCAGGCGTCAGCAGGTGTTGCCTGGTGTTACTGACTGTCACCAGGCGTCAGCAGGTGTTGCCTGGTGTTACTGACTGGCACCAGGCGTCAGCAGGTGTTGCCTGGTGTTACTGACTGTCACCTGACGTCAGCAGGTGTTGCCTGGTGTTACTGACTGGCACCAGGCGTCAGCAGGTGTTGCCTGGTGTTACTGGCTGGCACCTGACGTCAGCAGGTGTTGCCTGGTGTTACTGGCTGGCACCTGACGTCAGCAGGTGTTGCCTGGTGTTACTGACTGTCACCTGACGTCAGCAGGTGTTGCCTGGTGTTACTGACTGGCACCTGACGTCAGCAGGTGTTGCCTGGTGTTACTGACTGGCACCTGACGTCAGCAGGTGTTGCCTGGTGTTACTGACTGGCACCTGACGTCAGCAGGTGTTGCCTGGTGTTACTGACTGTCACCAGGCGTCAGCAGCTGTCAGGTAACACACACACACACACACACACACACACACACACACACACACACACACACACACACACACACACACACACACACACACACACAATAAAGTACAACTAAAGCTCTAAGGCATTTGAGACCATAAATCAAGATTTAGAAAACGAGAATAAGAAATGAAGTTCCAGAATAGGATAAAAACATAAAAGATGACAAGAGAAAAGTCTTCAGGTTAGAAAAGGAAGCAAAACCGCGTCCCACTCAGTAAGCTTACGCTTATCAAGCCTCTATAAAAGATACATAAGCTGATAAAGAAAGTTAACAATGATAAGGTGACAATAAAACACATTGTTGATACGATGAAACAAGCAATTTCTAATAATTCATTTACTGTTTAAACTAAATGCGAACAAGAGGACGTGGACAGGAAGGAATTGGAAGTAATACAAATCACAAGAAAATATTAATGCAGCTAAACTGTGTGGTCAAGTCACCATCCACTGTAGACTGAGAAGATATATCCAGGGGGGAAAAACGGCTAGTTAAAATTATAATTGTCAAAGAAACTGATATCACACATTCTACCAATGAAACCAAAAATGAGGATTGATATAAAATAGTAAACTGTGCATATTCTCCCAAATTTATACAAATACGAAAGTGCTTAAAAAAGAAATGCAGTGCAAAAGAGTTAAATTATTAATTCCTACAAGAGAGAGTAGAGTTACCTTCCCTAAATGATAAACCTAACCTAACCTAACCTTCCCTAAATGATAAATCTAACCTAACCTATCCTTCCCTAAATGATAAACCTAACCTAACCTAACCTTGCCTAAATGGTAAACCTAACCTAACCTAACCTAACCTTCCCTAAATGGTAAACCTAACCTAACCTAACCTTCCCTAAATGGTAAAATGTACTTGTGATCTAAGCAATTTTGCCATGGTGAAGGTAGACGAGGGTATATATCATATAGTGAAAGTGTTAAGCTCTGATGACAGTAAAGAATGTTAGCCAACAAATAATGTGTAGATGATAGCAACCTCTGGTCTTGCTATTTATACACACACACTCACAGTGATCCTTAAAGATCTTTAACGAGTCACTTACAAAGGGAGACTTGCCCCGCTGCTGGAAAAAGGTAAATTCTGTCTATGACTACTAGAGTACTATGACTGTAGCTCCTCCAGGCAGCTGGGACGACACTGTAGCCTCACCATATAGCTGAGGCCACATAACAGGCTCGGGATCAATCAGAACTACCTCGGTTACGCCAATATAAACTACCTCGTCTGGACCAACAGACGTTATGAAAATTCCTGAATTCTTTTCACATGAGAGAGTGTGACGCCGAGGTGGTTATCCCTACAGGTGAGGATCAGCTACCTGGACGCCATGAACACGCGGGAATACCGACAGAGCTACCTCCAGAGTCACTACTTCTTCACCTGCGACTGTCGCCTGTGTAGGGACGACCTTCACCATTACTCTATGTCTACCGTGCCCTGTGGTGAGTTGCCCCCTGTGTCCCCCTGTGTCCCCTAGTGAGTGTCCCCCCACCTGCGTCCCCCCTGTGTCCCCTAGTGAGTGTCCCCCCACCTGTGTCCCCCTGTGTCCCCTAGTGAGTGTCCCCCCACCTGTGTCCCCTAGTGAGTGTCCCCCCACCTGTGTCCCCCTGTGTCCCCTAGTGAGTGTCCCTCTGTGTCCCCTAGTGAGTGTCCCACCACCTGTGTCCCCCTGTGTCCCCTAGTGAGTGTCCCCCCACCTGTGTCCCCTTGTGTCCCCTAGTGAGTGTCCACCCACCTGTGTCCCCCTGTGTCCCCTAGTGAGTGTCCCCCCAACCTGTGTCCCTCTGTGTCCCCTAGTGAGTGTCCCCCCACCTGTGTCCCCCTGTGTCCCCTAGTGAGTGTCCACCCACCTGTGTCCCCCCGCACCCACATGGCGACACAAAACTCTTTGCAATACCCTTTTTTTTACAGAATATCTTGCAAAAAGGCAATATTATTGCTTAGTACTATACTTAACAGTATAATTTTATAGTAATTCTATACATTTAAAAGCAAATTCTCCAGAAGGAACATTCGTTTCACTACGATTTTGTGTGTGTGTGAGACAGGGTCTTCCAGCTGTGAGGCTCCTGTCTACCTGGATGAGACGGCGGACGGGGGCGTGGGACAGTGTGATGTGTGTGGCTACAGTGACTTCCGTGATGACCTTCGACAGGAGTACCGCACCGTCGCCGCCTTCACCAGGAAATGTCTTCAAGACCTCAATGAGGAGCACCCAGGTACGTTGAAGGTCCGCTAGTGTTGGGAGGCTGGCTAGTGATCCTAGCTAGTGTTGGGAGGCTGGCTAGTGATCCTAGCTAGTGTTGGGAGGCTGGCTAGTGACCCTAGCTAGTGTTGGGAGGCTGGCTAGTGATCCTAGCTAGTGTTGGGAGGCTGGCTAGTGATCCTAGCTAGTGTTGGGAGGCTGGCTAGTGACCCTAGCTAGTGTTGGGAGGCTGGCTAGTGATCCTAGCTAGTGTTGGGAGGCTGGCTAGTGATCCTAGCTAGTGTTGGGAGGCTGGCTAGTGATCCTAGCTAGTGTTGGGAGGCTGGCTAGTGTTCCTAGCTAGTGTTGGGAGGCTGGCTAGTGATCCTAGCTAGTGTTGGGAGGCTGGCTAGTGATCCTAGCTAGTGCTATGAGCCTGGCTAGTGTTGGGAGGCTGGCTAGTGATCCTAGCTAGTGTTGGGAGGCTGGCTAGTGATCCTAGCTAGTGTTGGGAGGCTGGCTAGTGATCCTAGCTAGTGTTGGGAGGCTGGCTAGTGATCCTAGCTAGTGTTGGGAGGCTGGCTAGTGATCCTAGCTAGTGTTGGGAGGCTGGCTAGTGACCCTAGCTAGTGCCGTGAGCCTGGCTAGTGTTCCTAGCTAGTGCTGTAGCCCTAGCCAGCGGTGTGACTAACTCTGGTCCCCCCGGCAGACCTGGAGATGTGGCGGGAGGTGGTGGCGACGCAGGAGAACGTGTTTCACCCGCTCAATGTTCTTCGTGCTAAGGCCCTCGACGCCCTCTTGACAGCCACTGTCAACCTGAGAGGCTGGCACTCCGCCTGGGGCCTGGCCAAGCTCAACCATAGTGCCATCAGGTGAGTGGTTAACCCTCTTTCATAGAGATGATGCTCAATCACAGGTGACGTTCGGACACATTGCCTTGCAACTCGTGCCTCTGTTCACCTAGTAGTTGGTTGGGTAAGTGTTGTGGGTTGTATGCTAGGGAAGGTCAGTAGTTGTTATAGCCTCTGGGGGGGGGCTTTGGCAAATCTAGCTGGCTTCTTGTATGTATCTATGTATGTATGTATGCATGTATGTATGTATGACTATCTATGTATAAATGTATGTACTTACATGTTTGGGTCATGTATGTACATATACATACATACTTGGGTGTTAAAAACTGTATGAATGTATGTAGGTATGTATGAATGTATGTATGTATGTATGTATGTAGGTATGCATGTACGTATATATATATATTTGATAACCTGACTTTGATATCTTTATATCATTATTTAAACAAAACCTTTATCATAAAAGTTCTTATCATATGACAATCACTTATGCTGCTATTTTCTATATATATATTTCAAACTAATTACACTTACGCCTGGCTCGTACTAAGCCACGGAAGAGCTGAGATCTTCTAACAAGGTGTTGAGAACCAGGAATAACCACATCTTGCAAGATATATCAACCACTGAACAAATCACTCTCAAAATATTCAAGATTGCAAACATGATCTGTGTTTTTTTCTCTCCGACAGACACTACTACGGGGCCAAGCATCCTACCTACGGCCTCTTCCTCCTGAAGCTAGCCAAGATCGAACTCTACAACATGGACAGTGCTGCGGCTCTCGAGCACCTGGAGGAGGCCGAGGAGATCCTGGAGGCCGGCCTGGGCTCCAATCACCCGCTGGTGTACACAGACCTCATGTGGCTGATGGTCCAGGCCAGCGAGGAGACCAGAGTCCAGATACAGAGGTCCCTTATATACGGAGATCTGTGCCCCACAACTAATCGTGCTAGGAGCTGAGGGCCGCCCGGGAGCACCTTTGGACACCCATAGTGTGGACATGAGGACACCAGAGCTTAAGATACCTGTATTTCCTGCCGTAGGGATGAAGTCACAGGTATCCGAGTCCTGTGTGTCACTAATGTTTTGCTTAGTCATATAATGCATATAAAGGCTTCCAGAGCTTTTCGTGCGAGAGCAGGCTACACCCGGTGCATCTCTCTGTCTCTCTGACTTCATAACACAATGGTTGGGAATAATATTTACAAATTAATCTCATTTTTCCCCACCTCGTGATCTGGCAGTCGTCTACCAGTGTTTTGAAGCAGAAGAATGTTGGTTAAAGCTTGCTGTGAGCGGAGCTTAGATGTGGCGGGGATAAAGCTTGGTGATGTAGGGAGTGAAAGCTGACATTTGCCAGGTATAAGTGGTCAGTCTGCTGGCTGCTGGCGTGGCAGATGTTGAGGACATCACTAGAGAACCAGGAGTGCTGTCTAGATGGTGTTGTGGCGCCTGGTGCCACTGATATTACTCCTGCTAGTGTTGTGATGCCTGGTGCCACTGATATTACTCCTGCTAGTGTTGTGGCGCCTGGTGCCACTGATATTACTCCTGCTAGTGTTGTGGCGCCTGGTGCCACTGATATTACTCCTGCCAGTGTTGTGGCGCCTGGTGCCACTGATATTACTCCTGCTAGTGTTGTGATGCCTGGTGCCACTGATATTACTCCTGCTAGTGTTGTGATGCCTGGTGCCACTGATATTACTCCTGCTAGTGTTGTGGCGCCTGGTGCCACTGATATTACTCCTGCTAGTGTTGTGGCGCCTGGTGCCACTGATATTACTCCTGCTAGTGTTGTGGCGCCTGGTGCCACTGATATTACTCCTGCTAGTGTTGTGGCGCCTGGTGCCACTGATATTACTCCTGCCAGTGTTGTGACGCCTGGTGCCACTGATATTACTCCTGCCAGTGTTGTGACGCCTGGTGCCACTGATATTACTCCTGCTAGCGTTGTGGCGCCTGGTGCCACTGATATTTCTCCTGCCAGTGTTGTGGCGCCTGGTGCCACTGGCAATAATTTACCAGTGTTGTGACGCCTGCTACAACTGACATTAACCTACCAGTGTTGTGACGCCTGCTACAACTGGCATTAACCTACCAGTGTTGTGACGCCTGCTACAACTGGCATTAACCTGCCAGTGTTGTGACGCCTGCTACAACTGGCATTAACCTACCAGTGTTGTGACGCCTGCTACAACTGGCATAACCTGCCAGTGTTGTGACGCCTGCTACAACTGGCCTTAACCTGCCAGTGTTGTGACGCCTGCTACAACTGACATTAACCTGCCAGTGTTGTGACGCCTGCTACAACTGACATTAACCTGCCAGTGTTGTGACGCCTGCTACAACTGGCATTAACCTACCAGTGTTGTGACGCCTGCTACAACTGGCATTAACCTACCAGTGTTGTGACGCCTGCTACAACTGACATTAACCTGCCAGTGTTGTGACGCCTGCTACAACTGACATTAACCAGCCAGTGTTGTGACGCCTGCTACAACTGGCATTAACCAGCCAGTGTTGTGACGCCTGCTACAACTGACATTAACCTGCCAGTGTTGTGACGCCTGCTACAACTGACATTAACCAGCCAGTGTTGTGACGCCTGCTACAACTGGCATTAACCAGCCAGTGTTGTGACGCCTGCCACAACTGGCATTAACCAGCCAGTGTTGTGACGCCTGCTACAACTGGCATTAACCAGCCAGTGTTGTGACGCCTGCTACAACTGGCATTAACCAGCCAGTGTTGTGACGCCTGCTACAACTGGCATTAACCTGCCAGTGTTGTGACGCCTGCTACAACTGGCATTAACCAGCCAGTGTTGTGACGCCTGCCACAACTGGCATTAACCAGCCAGTGTTGTGACGCCTGCCACAACTGGCATTAACCAGCCAGTGTTGTGACGCCTGCCACAACTGGCATTAACCAGCCAGTGTTGTGACGCCTGCCACAACTGGCATTAACCAGCCAGTGTTGTGACGCCTGCTACAACTGACATTAACCAGCCAGTGTTGTGACGCCTGCCACAACTGGCATTAACCAGCCAGTGTTGTGACGCCTGCTACAACTGGCATTAACCAGCCAGTGTTGTGACGCCTGCCACAACTGGCATTAACCATCCAGTGTTGTGACGCCTGCCACAACTGGCATTAACCAGCCAGTGTTGTGACGCCTGCTACAACTGGCATTAACCAGCCAGTGTTGTGACGCCTGCTACAACTGGCATTAACCAGCCAGTGTTGTGACGCCTGCTACAACTGGCATTAACCTGCCAGTGTTGTGACGCCTGCCACAACTGGCATTAACCTGCCAGTGTTGTGACGCCTGCCACAACTGGCATTAACCAGCCAGTGTTGTGACGCCTGCCACAACTGGCATTAACCAGCCAGTGTTGTGACGCCTGCCACAACTGGCATTAACCAGCCAGTGTTGTGACGCCTGCCACAACTGGCATTAACCAGCCAGTGTTGTGACGCCTGCCACAACTGGCATTAACCAGCCAGTGTTGTGACGCCTGCCACAACTGGCATTAACCTGCCAGTGTTGTGACGCCTGCCACAACTGGCTCTACTGACAGCATCGACTGAGTGGTGGCAGTTGCTTTTCCTTGTGTGGTTTTGACATTTGTAATTTTATTATGTTAAAAGATAATATTTTTTCTTGGGTATTGATCACTGTTTGGTATTGATCACTGTTGGGTGTTGATCACTGTTGGGGTGTTGATCACTGTTGGGTGTTGATCACTGTTGGGTGTTGATCACTGTTGGGGTGTTGATCACTGTTGGGTGTTGATCACTGTTGGGTGTTGATCACTGTTGGGTGTTGATCACTGTTGGGTGTTGGTCACTGTTGGGTGTTGATCACTGTTGGGTGTTGATCACTGTTGGTTGGTGATCACTGTTGGGTGTTGATCACTGTTGGGTGTTGATCACTGTTGGGTGTTGGTCACTGTTGGGTGTTGATCACTGTTGGGTGTTGATCACTGTTGGGGTGTTGATCACTGTTGGGGTGTTGATCACTGTTGGGTGTTGATCACTGTTGGGGTGTTGATCACTGTTGGGTGTTGATCACTGTTGGGTGGTGATCACTGTTGGGTGTTGATCACTGTTGGGGTGTTGATCACTGTTGGGTGGTGATCACTGTTGGGGTGTTGATCACTGTTGGGTGTTGATCACTGTTGGGTGTTGATCACTGTTGGGGTGTTGATCACTGTTGGGTGGTGATCACTGTTGGGGTGTTGATCACTGTTGGGTGGTGATCACTGTTGAGTGTTGATCACTGTTGGGTGTTAATCACTGTTGGGTGTTGATCACTGTTGGGGTGTTGATCACTGTTGGGTGTTGATCACTGTTGGGTGTTGATCACTGTTGGGTGGTGATCACTGTTGGGTGTTGATCACTGTTGGGTGTTGATCACTGTTGGGTGTTGGTCACTGTTGGGTGTTGATCACTGTTGGGTGTTGATCACTGTTGGGGTGTTGATCACTGTTGGGGTATTGATCACTGTTGGGTGTTGATCACTGTTGGGGTGTTGATCACTGTTGGGTGTTGATCACTGTTGGGGTGTTGATCACTGTTGGGGTGTTGATCACTGTTGGGTGTTGATCACTGTTGGGTGTTGATCACTGTTGGGTGGTGATCACTGTTGGGGTGTTGATCACTGTTGAGTGTTGATCACTGTTGGGTGTTAATCACTGTTGGGTGTTGATCACTGTTGGGGTGTTGATCACTGTTGGGTGTTGATCACTGTTGGGTGTTGATCACTGTTGGGTGGTGATCACTGTTGGGTGTTGATCACTGTTGGGTGTTGATCACTGTTGGGTGTTGATCACTGTTGGGTGGTGATCACTGTTGGGTGGTGATCACTGTTGGGTGTTGATCACTGTTGGGTGTTGATCACTGTTGGGTGTTGATCACTGTTGGGTGTTGATCACTGTTGGGGTGTTGATCACTGTTGGGGTGTTGATCACTGTTGGGTGTTGATCACTGGTGGGTGTTGATCACTGTTGGGGTGGTGATCACTGTTGGGTGTTGATCACTGTTGGGTGTTGATCACTGTTGGGTGTTGATCACTGGTGGGTGTTGATCACTGTTGGGTGGTGATCACAGTTGGGTGCTGGGCAATGTTGGGTGTTGATCACTGTTGGGTGTTGATCACTGTTGGGGTGTTGATCACTGTTGGGTGTTGATCACTGGTGGGTGTTGATCACTGTTGGGTGTTGATCACTGTTGGGTGTTGATCACTGTTGGGGTGTTGATCACTGTTGGGTGTTGATCACTGTTGGGGTGTTGATCACTGTTGGGTGTTGATCACTGTAGGGTGGTGATCACTGTTGGGTGTTGATCACAGTTGGGTGCTGGACAATGTTGGGTGTTGATCACTGTTGGGTGTTGATCACTGTTGGGAGCTGGACAACACCTGGTACTGGACAATACACAGTGGTAAACAATACCTGGTACTGGATAATACTAGTCACTGCACTAGTATTGGACAGTAACTGTCGCTGGACACTTCCTAGTACCAGGAGTTACCAAAATACTGTCCTGGTGGGTACTGGCCACCTCCCAGTACCACAGACCACCTCTCATCTTAGCCTCTAGCCCTGGCCCAAGATCCACCCAGCATTTACTCAACCAATTACTCAACCTGTTCATCTTCCAACAATATTTTCTGCTGTGTTGACCTCTATTAAACAGTTAATAAGGCTCAAAAACCCCACAAACTAACAATCATAATTGTTATACAAAAATCACATAGTGGTTCGGAGCTTATGAACCGTTTAACCATGTAAACAAACCCTACAATGACTGAGGAAAGATGTACAGGTTTCATAGACGGATACGGGCAATGCTTAACGAGTGGAGGGTGTGTAGTGAGGAGCACCTCTCCTCTCTAGACTGTACCACAATATACAAAATGAACGATGGTTAATACTCTTTCATTATCCTGGTACCAAAACACACTTT